AATGAACATATTAAGAATTTTGCATCACATAAACAATACCAAGTGAATTCTATAAACTAAGTAAATTCTCATCATAATTTTTAGTTATTAAAAATAAAAAAATATAATAGCCATCAAGAAGTAAGTTAAAATTCAAATTATGCTTCAGAAAATTGCTTGAAAACAAATTTGAATCGGAGAAAATTCGTGAGAGAATTGAATGAATACATATATATATATATATATATATATATATGTATAAAATATTACCAAGAAATTGTGTAAAATAGAAGCCCTAGGATCCAAAGAAAGCACATCAATGCATTAGTCACCGTTGGCCCCAACCCTCCTCTCTCAATGCTGTATATGTTATCGTCAAATGAAATATAAAAAAAGAAAAAATTACATATAATTGATCTAAATAGAATAAAAACTTAATTTAGATAACTATTAAAAAAAACATGTTAGGAGCCATGTGCTTGAACTTGGTGTGATATCACTCATATTATGGCAATGTTTGAAGTCGTAATAATATTGTAATTGTTGATTGTGAGAATTGGTTCAAAAGAACTAATGAATTTTATTGGTTTTTATTCAGATAATTTATCAAATAGATTGAAGGTGTATGGCAGACCAAACTTTCCTTCATTGTTATTGAATAAGGTACACCAAAATACTAACTTTTGTATTTCTTTAATAAACATGATCACTATTTGAGTAGCCCTTACTGTTATCATGTACCTATGTTCAAAAGATTGCTAATTCTTCTTCTTTTGTGTTTTTCCTTTAATTTTGTTTTGAGAATTATGTGATGGCTTTCAATATTTATCAATTGGGAATGTATGGCAATTGGTATGGATTCCCATTGGAGATTAGATGAGTCCTAAGGATTTCTCTCTTCTTCTTTTTCATTACCTTTTTTCCCGTTGGTTTTCCTTTCTTATTACTTTTTAGTTATGAGAACTCATCATTTAGGTATGTTTTGGATAAAATAGCTTGTAATGCAGTAGAGGTGAGTCTTTTGAGTTGGTCATTTACTTATTTTACACATTATTTACTTCCATAGAATTCTATACCATAAATTGAAGTTGGAATAAGTGATATATTAGTCGGATGTTACTTTTTTTAATGAAAAGCCATCAACTTTATTAGTTTTTCACTTGGTTGATTTGCTAGATGCGTCGGGTTAATGCGTCGGTTAGTATTAGAGTCAAGTGTTACTACATAGCCAACTTGTGGGATTAAGAAGTAGGATATTTGTATGTAACTTAGTGCAACGGTGCTAAACTTCATTATCTATAAAAATTAAAGAACCTTTTTGTGCACAAGAGGTTGAATATAAACTTAAGAAGCTCTTTTTGTAGTTTTGGATTAAAGACTAGATTATATCATTTTTTTTTAATCTAAAGCTACTATATAAATCATGTTAATATTTTCAATTGCTAGATTTTATGGATTCATGAAAATCAACTTCTAGCCCTCGAGGTTGGCTCAATGGTCTCGGGGTGGCCTATTTGGTCTCGAGGTCATGGGTTCGACCCCTCTTAACCCTTGTGTATTCTTGGGGCAGGGTGCACAAGCGCAGGGAAATTAGTTAGACAAAATTAGGATACTTCCTGTGTTGACAAAAAAAAAATCATTTTCCAATACTAATGTCATACTTTGCCATGAGCATGAACATTTACAGATGATATTTTGATAGATTTGTCGCAGTTTCAGTTTTCCAGTTAGATTTGCTTGCCTATCATAATACCAACAAATTGTTGGCCTAATTACAAGATTCTTATTTAACATCTTGGAACTCGAGATCTCATGTTACTTTTTTGCAACTATTATTGGAGATAAAGAAAAATCCAATGGGAGATAGTTGTTTTAGAAGAAGATATGTCAGAAGTTTGGTAGAGGAATTAGATGTATCAATTAACACTATTCAATATAGCCCTTGTGAGGCGTCAACTTTGAGTTCTAAAAACTTCTTGGAAATTTAGTAATTTCCCATGTCTTGTGGTAAATGGTAATCAACGAATTTCAACTCTATCCAAAATTGCCATCATTTTAATTATTTAGCCACTTGTCACCACTAAATACTAATTTTTCTTCTCCTTTTAATTAAAATTTTCCCTATGCTACTATTTCCTCATACTTCTTGGCTGTTGGTATTCATCACTTGTGTACGTTTAACCATAGGAATGGTTTTTCAGTTGCTTTCTAAAAAGTTGATATCTATTTATACAGTAAATTGATTATTCCCCTCTAATATATTATTGTGACCTTAATATTTTGGCAACAGTTACTAATTTAGATCATTTTCCAAACTTTTTTTTTCATATTTCTAGATAAGGTATGTATATTCTTCTTGTAATTTGTTAAATTGAGTTGATTCTAGTAACTTTTTTAATATTTGATGCATTTCTCGTTCAATATATGAGCCTTTCATTTTCTTTGGTTTGTAGATGTGTAACTTGTATCAATTGTTCTGGGCACTATATTTGATTGTTAAAATCAAGGGTTTATATTAAATTCTTTAGGAGAAAGCGCAAAATTGAACTTGATATTAACTATTCACATAGAAGACAAGAGAAAGGTGCATGAACATATATAGAGAACTTTTGAAGAAAATTTACTATACATATATTTGCTTGAATAATGGCAATGTTCTCTACTGCTTTCTAATTTAATGTTCTCAAACAAAGTCATAAACTTAGTGATGTTGTTTACCATAGACATTATTATGTTATATTAGCATGATCAATTTAAAGCTATATTTTTAACTCCAAAAGGAAAAAGTGTGGCAAAGATAGAAGATGGAAATCTTGTGTTTCTCAATTTTCTACATCTAGCAATTTCAATTTCATATGCTACTTCAAAAAGTACAGAACCTTTTGATTTTGGCTCTATAATTTTTAATGGAACTCCAATTTCAAGTATTACTAACTTTATACACATTTTCCCTCTTTCCCTAAATATACAACACACATTTCAATTCATTATCATCTTAAAAAAAAATTTCCAAGAGAACTGAAGACATAGCTCCCCTATTCTCGTGCCTTTTGGAGCTCTCTTCCCTAGTTTTCAAAATAGATTTATCATATGAAAGTATGGGTTAACAATAAAAGGTTCACATGGAAACTAGCAACTAATACTAATAACTAACACATGAAATTCTTCCTTTATTTTTTCTCACAAATGTTGATTTCTTTCACTAATATTCTTCTTCAAATTTGAAAAGACAATAATTTAAATTCTTTCTATGAGTCTAGTGATATTCAATCCTTTTTCCCCCTTCATGTTGGATAAAAAAGATATATGCATAATGAACATTCCAAAGCTTTTAGCTTAGGGCATATTTAATCAAATAAACAACTATAAAAAGTACAACGATGAATCAATTAGATGAATGACTTGAGAAAATGAAAAAAAGCAATGGTATATGCATAAGAGACTAAAAATTAAAGTATGAAGAAAAAGGATGGGAAGGAAAAATTAGATGATGCATTTAATCTTGAGCGGTGAAGCACCGAAATTAACTAAAATAGTTGGTCTTAACTCCTAGCCTTAGAGCTAAACTATTGACCAAATGATTTTAGGGCATAGTATAACTGGCCATGATTATAAGGGGGTTTAGCACAATTAAGCAAAAAAATTAAAATGAAATAGGGTTAATTTCACTTTCAGCCTTTCAACTATATCAGAATTTTTTCTTTTCATCCTTAAGTTTTAAAATAAAACATTTAAGTCCTTGATGAGAAGGTCGAGAGAGCTATCCAAGTGGAGCAAGTGAAGGTGCCATTGGGGCTTATGACTAGAGCTCGCGCGAAGAGATTGAATGAGACACTACAAACATTGGTTTGTGCGGCTTGAGAGTCGAGTGGAGAGCCAAAGGCCATCGAGAGCCTCAACGAAACTAGGCTTGTTGTCCTCGTTTCGGCTATCACTGAAGATTAGAAGCCCATGAGTCGGCTAAGGGGTCGATGGTCCATTATTAGTTTGGTAGAGTGTAATAAAGAGGTCCAACTAACTTGTGATTTGGACCTTAGTTGTTGTTAGCCCTTGGGTCAATGGGCTAGGCCATGTGGGCCTTAGGGCTAATAGCACTTTAGTGAGCTACGTAGTTAGCCCCTACGCTGAGCTGGTTCGGGGGTCTTGCGGCCTGGTCAGCAAGTTGAAGGTCTAGGGGGCGATGCGCCCCGGTGGAGCTCTAGGGCTATGCCCCAGAGCTTACGGTATATATGTTGCCCCAGAGCTTACGGTATATATGTTGTTGGGCTTAGGCCTTAGTCACGGCTACAAATAGTCTTAAGTCATTGTTTACATTCAGTTTTTGATGATTAATAAAAACACATTTTGAGAGTTTTCTCAAAGCTTTATTGAAGCACCATTGAATATCTTAGAATCGTTCTTAGTTATTCAAGTCGACTTATCAATTTAGGACCGCGCTAGATTGTGGCGTCTTCTACCAATACCGAGGTTCGTTGACCACGTGATCAACGGGTTTAGGTGATTCCACTGCGTTCGTGTGTCATCAACGTGAGTTCTCACCTTCTAGATCCTATCCTGTCTGTATTGGTTGCATCACAAGATTGGTGCCGTTCGTATCAGTCCCAAAAGTGTGAAATATATTTCACTTTAGCCCTGATAATATCAATTTATGGCATCTTAATCCTTAAAGTATAAAATTTATTCCACTTTAGTTTGTAAAGTACACAAATTTCTCTTATTTAAATATAAAATTTGTCCAACTTTTGTCCAAGAATTTAGTTGAACGGGACAAATTCTATATTGTTCTATTTTATGAATAAAAGTCTTTTGAGTAAATATTTTATAGTAATCTCGTTAGACCATATATTTTTCTTGGTATTTTCACATAATAGGTATGAGTATGAGCTGTCTCATTTTAAAGTTTAATGACCAAAGTAACAATGTTATATAATTTGAGGGTGCAAAATGAAATTAATCAAAATGCTGCCGTTTTGATTGATTCTATTCCATCTCTTCACTCCACTATTAAGATTCACCTTCCTTTCCCCCTCCTCGCTTCTTCTCCAATCCTTTTAACGAATTTCATCTTTCATTCAGACAAGAATTTTGCTCTCTCTGAAGATTACTTAGCTCTGTGAGAAGACGGTAGATTTGGTGGATTTTTGAAATATCTTTGGAGGAACAAACGATGGAAGGGGATGGGGAAAGCGTCTCTTCCTCTGCTTCCACCGCGTTAGTCGCGGCGGATGTGGATGCTCGATCAATTCTAGTCCTTCGCGGCGGCCGATCCAAAGGCAAGAGCACTTCATTAATTGCTGTATTCACATACGTTGATGAGATAATTCATTGAAGCAGATGTCTTATTAGTTGATTGTTAAAATAGATTTAATAGGAACAATTTTAGTGTGTCATGGTGGAAAGAGAATAAGAAGTATTGGAGAACCCTAGGCGTTATCAAATTAATTTCCAATAATGCATTTTTTTTACGTTAATTCCTACGCATTACTGTTTTGGAGCTTGTTATATTGTAGAAGTTGAAGCTTGTCAAGTTGCAATTGTTAACCAATCAAACTTAATGTAGCAGAATTTGTGGAATAGAGCTGATGCATATAGGTGGAAAAGTATGTCTGATGTTTAAGGCAGTAGTTAATTTCTCTTCTGTCAATTTTTCTAGGAATCATTTGGATAAAGTTTTACAAGGAAAGAAAATGCAAATAGTTTATTATCTTCTGGAAATGAGGCAGTAATTGGATATTGTATGTGGTGCTTCACTAAGATGATCCTAAAAATAGATACTCTTATTTAAAATATTGTTTAACTGCACGTGTAGCTATTAAGGATCCACTAGGTGCTCTTTTCACTATCCACTAGTTTGCTCTTTGAACCAAACACGATTGGTGTAACAGGGGTCCATTCAGTTTAGTAACCATTTAATCACATTTAGTTGAATTAGTCTATCTTGAATACCCCTAACTCCATTCTACCTTAATAGTATGGCATCTGCATTTTTTTTGTTGCTCTTTGCCCAAATGAGTATGACATTCCTATATCTTTATCATGTTTCAATGTCTTAGTTTGCTTGCCAACTTCTCACAATTGTAATCAGGAGTCATCACGTTTTCACAAGTAATAACAGTTACTTGTAAATTAAATGGTAATCTCCTTGAACTGAAGGATATTGTTAGCCATTAGACTTTTCATCTTGGCTGTATTCCTGTGGGTTAAACCTTAATTGTCATCACAATAACGTTTTCTTTGAAGGTGGTCTTTTACACTTTAATTGTACATAGGAGCAGAAACTCAAGATCTAGAAGAAAAAAGGAGTACACGTAATGAAAAAGAAATAGAAGACAAATTTCTCTTCTCACTCCCTTATTTATGGTCAGGATTAATTTATATTTTTTTTACTCAATAACGGGCAATAGTTTCCTTGTAACCCCAAAGATAAAGTAAATTGATGTTTTTCATTGGCTAAGGTTGTGAAGTCAAGGGGATTAATACACATATATATGCATTGAAATGTAATTAATTGGTCTTAATTTCCTTTCATGCATGGTATTCGGTTTTTAAAACATTTTTTCAGTACTAACATAATACGAAGCCTGATTAAATTTACTAGGATCGACTGTACATTAAAATGTCAGCACTTATATGTACATTGGATCACCTTGGTGCTCAAAAAACACCTTCTTGTACATATTCACATATTCAATATTCTAGTGCATGCTTGAAAACCTTGTTGATTCTGCTGTTATATCTTTGATTGCTTTCAAGTAAGAATGTCAGTGTCTTGTAGTTGGAAGCTAGCACTTTTGCTATACAGGGAAATTGGAAATTTATGCCCATGTTCTCTTCAAGGATACAACTGTCAATTACTTTAAAAGGGGTGACGATGTTGGCACTTAAAATTTTTTAAAGAGACAAGAAGCAAGTAAAGTGCTAGCCAATATTGTTATCTTAAGAGAATTATATTAAAGTTTTGCTGTACTTCTCTTCTTTTCAAGAGTACATATCCTTGGTGTTTCCATGGCACTATGTAATTCATATTTGTCAATGTCACATCAAATGACATCTCTTTTATCCTACTCAATTGTCACATCAGAGAATCAATTAATGGTGCTTTTGGTTTGTTTGTTGTTTGCTTGAGTTCTCTTATTTTGTTATTGACACTGCTGTCATGTATGTTGTGCTTTAGTATAACTTTCATTTCCAATCTCTTTGGTGGATACATGTTTGTGTATAATAAAGATTCCTTGTTGCTTTTAAGATGTAACTATGACTCTCTATTAATAACATTATTCTTGTTGTCCAGCTATGTACCAGTTTACTCAGCAAAGTCTTCCAGCTTGTAAACCTGTCCTAACTCCAACATCAGTAGGCATACAACTGAATTGATAATCTCTAAAACTTCAATTCTCTCGTGTTTTCCATTTTGTTTTTGGATTGTTTATTTCCCATATAATGACGGTCTCTTCTCCGTCACAGGTTATTTCGACACTTTTCTTGATGGGCATCTTTTGCATTCCAATAGGACTGCTTTCTTTACATGCTTCACTGAGTGTATATCTCATGCTTGTCGCTCTTTTTAATAATTCATTCCTTTTGAGTAGTCCTTGGTATGCCATAGCTTACTGATGTAACTTCCAAATTGTAGGTTGTGGAGATTGTTGAGAGATATGACTCTGAATGTGTTCCTCATCAATTTAGATTGAATAAGGTTGCATATATCAAAGATAGCTTAATTCCCAAGAATTGCTCAAGATATCTAAAGGTAATTTCATTTTGTCTTTTTTGATTAGCTTGGTGCCATTGTTATGTTGTATTTCTCTTCCTGATGCTTTACGGTCTTGCTTTGAGAGTATTTCTATTCAGTGATTTCGATGAATTTTATTGCCTGTGTGTGAAGAACTTATTTTTTTGCTGCTGTCCTTTATGGAAATGAAACCGTAGCATATGTATCTTTCCCAATGAACTTTGGCTGGCAGCATCGAGCTCTCAACCGTCCAAAAGCTTTTGATTTTGTTGTCACATAATAGTGAAAGCAGATGCTTGCTGTTCTTGAACTCAATTTGATTGTTATAGTCAATGCTTAAATAGTTTGTGGTATTACTGGAGGTAATTTGCCTTTTCTTGGATAAGGTAAAAGCCCTTAACTGTTGAGACTGTAACCTTCAATTATTCAACATGGGCAAAATTTTTGAAATGGGAACTTTAGTCCCTAATTCTAAAGGCAGCACAACTTTTAAGCTACTCAAATGCAAAGGGCATTTTCACTCATTTCTGTACAAGATGTGGTGCTAAACTTGCATATATTTTATACAAAAATCAGGACGAATGACTGTTGTAATATATAGCCCAAAATCTCCCTCTCTATATGAATTAAGCATTTACAGGCACTCATTTCATCAATTTTTACTTGGACTCTAGCATTTTGGGATGAAAAATCTGCCAAAGGTGTTGCAGGTAGGAATTAGGAACTATTGCCCGGAATAGGAGGAAGTGTGAGCAAACATCTAGAAGCATCTGAGACTGTACAATGAAAATTTTCATGCATCATGATGTCTTCATGGTGTAATTTATATGCTACCTCCTCCAAAAACTTGTGATTTAATTGAGTGAAGATTTCGTGATAGCCTACTGGATAGGGCTTTGGTGAGAGATTAAACAGGGGGATGGTGGTTTTCTTTCATTACTATCCTTCCATGATTCTTGCTAGTTAACCAATCATTAGCACAGTGTTTCTATTCAGGAGGTGGACTTGCCATGTTCCTTTTTGTTCATTACATTGATAATTAAGTAGGGTCTTAATCTGGTTATTCAAGAATGATGGTACTGAGTCTCTACCATTATAGGGATGGTTGTCATCCACAGCACTCTGTATTTCCATATTTACAAGGATATGGGTTTCGAGATTTACTGGTTTTTTATGCTTGTTGTCTCTGAGAGGATTGGAGCAGCTAGTAAATATTGTGAGGTTATATTTATAGGTCATGGAAAACAACAAGAGAGATCATTTGCTTGTTGAATGGTTTATTTTATTTATTTGATCTTCTTATTTCTTTAAATATGGTTGCGGTAATATCTCAGCAAAATTATTACTGTATCTTCGTGGTAATATCTCAGAAAAATTGTTACTAAGATGACAATGTTTGGATTAGTTTCTCGCTGCATCCTTTATCGTGGACAAATCAGAAAAATAATTAGATTGATGGCGGTCCCATTGACAAAGCTTTTTCTTGGACTTTTGGAAATTGGTGCCCAAGAAAATTAATACAAAGCTTTTACTAGGACTTTGGAAAATTTTCTCCATCAGGTGGTTATGAAGAGAATTAATGTCATTGCATTGCTACAGTGAGGATGTCTTTGAAAGCTTTTATTTCTTTTTGTGTGAACCTTTATTATGACTGAGTGCCGGACAACCACGGACATTACTACATGTAAGCATGTAAAATGATTACTGTGGTCGGAACATGTGCCTTACACGGACAATCAAAAAGAGAGTATCTTTTAAACATAGCTCGGACTTGGAATAAAGTTTGTACCTCTCATCTTTCCCTTTTATGTGTTCAAAGACATCTTGACAAACACTCCAAGGTACTGAAGGTGGAGTCCTTTTTAATTTTTTGTCTTCTTCTTGGGAATTCTTATCATCAATATAAGTCATTCCCCTTGTTTCTATTTGTGCATTCTTTTCTTTTCTGAAAAGGAAACCTTTTCTTTTCCCCTACTTCAATAAGAGACTGACACATCTGATATTTTCAGTCTACAATATTTTAACCTGGATGAGACTCTCGTGAAAGTTGTTCTGATGAAACGAAGGCCAAAGTTTAGCAGCAGAATGATCTTTGACTTGTCTACAAAACTGTCATCCATCTCTCTATCCTCTCTCTCTCTCTCCTCTCTCCCTCGCATGTGCGCACACACTGTAGACTTCAGAACAATATGAAGATCTAATATGGATGATTCATGTTACTGGAATTTTGTCTTGCATTGAAATTAAAAACACATTGATGAAGAAGCTTCAAATCTAAATTTCTGGTAGTGCACTTATTCTCTTTCTGCAATTAATGGTTTCGCTTATCAAGGGGGAAAGTGTGGGTAGTTTAATACCGGACATTGATCTTCTGTTGTAGGAGCTACGACACTCCCTCTTAGCATAAACTAGTAATTTAAGTATAAGTGCAAAGATCCTTGTCATGGATTGCTGTCATTTCAGTTGTTGAGACATAAAAAACTGGTGATCCAGATCATTTTCCCACGTGGAATGAGACATCCCCTGAGATGTGGCCAAGAACTGGTTTCGAAAACATCACAATGTGAAAGAAATAGCTTGGAAAGATTTGGCTTGGGCATCATACACTAAGAAATCTGCAACCTTTTAGATGACTCAAACAAGTTGAGTAGAAGCTAGTATTAAAATTATCTACGTGGTTGCATTTTTCCATCTCCAATTATTGTCTTTTAGAAATTCTACCTTCCCGCAAACTTTTAAAAAAAAATTTTTGTCATTTGAGTTTACCTCTTTGTATTTCAGAATCAAATGGACATATCTGGTTTCAAATGGACCCTAACAACTGCTGCTTAAATTTGTTCTTTTTTTGGTCGTTTATAAGTGTATTAGTTAGGGGTTAAATAGTAGTGCAATGCGTTAAACTACCTCTAGTAACTAGGGAAGAGTAATGTCATGTAGCATTATACTATTTTCCAGCCCACCAGTTAGGCACTTTCTTTCATTTTTAAGTACTAAGACAATAAGTCTCTCTTATGCATTTATCAGTTCATGAGACCATCCTAAGGGTGCATTTGATAAGATTGAAGTTTAAAAATTGAAGTCTGAAATTTGAAATCTGAAGTCTGAATCAATTAAGTTATTGAATTGTTAAGTATTAAATCTAATACATTTGGATGAATATTACATTTAGTGATAAGTGAATAGTATCACTTAATTTTGGGAGCAAGTTTTGCCTAGGAAATTCAGTGCCACTTAATTAATTCAGATGTTCATTTTTTGGTTATTAAACGGTCTGAATATGTTAAGATCTGAATTCATTAAGTTTAAGTGCTGGATTGGGTTATCAAACTGGGCCTAAGTCCACTAGTGGGACACTGCCTCACTTAAAAATGTAAAAATGTAACAAATAAATAAGTGTCAATTATAAATTCTACACTCATTTAATCGGAAACCTTTATATACTGCAATAAACGTAACTGTAGTTGAGAATAGAATTGTTTTTCTTTGACACACGGTGGACATCTTAAATTGAATAGGTATGTGCATTACATGCAGATGCCTTAAGCTGCTTCAATTGTAATGTTTTAACTGGAGAATATGTTGTTAAGGATACCAACAAAACACTACAATAACCCATGAAAACTCTACTTTAAATGCAGAAAGAAGGATAGCATCAAAATGAGGCAGATCTTATTAAAAAGATAACTAGGAAGTCTGGTCTCCCATGGTGATTTTCATTTTGTGTGTTTAGACTGTCATATAGAAAAATTTAAAATAGTTAAAGATACAGCTATACTATATAGTTTGTGGCTATAACTATGTGGCCCTTCATAGCCTGAAACTAAGCACATGATTCATGACCTGGCAAACTATTAAAATCCTAAATTTTTGGTTTGCATAGATAATTTAGAAAAGTTTTTCCACCAGGCAATGCAGCTTTTTTGTTTGCAAAGCATCAAAATTTGCATGATACAGCTGATGGGCATTACTCCTAATTATCGGTATTTGCAACTGTTTTAGGTGCCCAAATACATGAAAGCTCCAATTTATATATATTATCAGCTTGATAACTACTACCAGAACCACAGACGGTAAGAGGATTTCCTCTTCTCCTTTTTTGAGCTTTCAATTTTCTGCACTTGGTTCATATTTCCATCCACTTTAATAGACACGGGATTTATTATGAAGTGCCATAAAGGATAGGCTGAAATGTGCTGAATAATATTAGATTGTTTTAGCAATTGTTCTTTTAATGTTTTATGTTCTGTCCATGTCAGTGTGGTATTGGGCACCTAACAGTATTATCTCATTTCTTTATTCTGCTCAGCTGTCATTTCTTTTTCTTATTCCTGCTTCACATATTTCTAGAATAATTCGTACTTGTACATTTTTTGCCAGGTATGTTAAAAGTAGAAGTGATAAGCAGCTAAGGTATGGACTGCAGTACAATGATACAAGTTCCTGCATACCCGAAGAATCTAACGATGGTCTCCCTATTGTCCCTTGTGGTTTGATTTCCTGGAGTTTATTCAATGACACGTACTCCTTTTTTCGTGGGACCGATGAACTAAGAATTAATAGAAAGAACATAGCATGGAAGAGCGATCGTGACCACAAATTTGGGAAGCATGTATTTCCCTTCAATTTTCAGAATGGAACACTCATTGGTGGTGCAATGCTTGATCCGAATGTTCCTGTACGTGTTCCTTATAATAGACTTTATGAATTAAAAATGTCCCATACATATTTAAGTTGTCACTTAATTCAACACAAATGAGCTTCTGCCTAGTGCTTCTTTTGATATTTTCTCTACTTTGAGAATTGGTAGGCCTCTTTTTTTCCCTTCTCTTTCTACTACCTCTTTTTGGTTCAAAAGGACTACCTGTTTTACTGATTCCCATCTCTTTTCTTTCTTCCTGCCCACATATTTATCTGGGCTTTTTTTTTTGACTCTATTCACTTTTTGCTTCTTCCATCTCAAGTGCCTACCTTTGCTTTGTTCAATGTTTGTTTGGTAGTGATGTGCAGTTTGAAAATACTTTATCAAATGATATTTTTGCTTTCAAATTGTCCTTGTCTTGCTTATGTTTGTTTTACTTTGTCTTATATTGTGTGGATAATGTGAATCCGCAAAGTTTTGATAATGTTTTCACTATTTACATATTTGTCTTGTTTTTAGGATTTCTTGTTTGAGCATTAGTATCTTCAGGTACTTCTAGAAGCATCTGTGGCCATGCCCAATTCCAAAGCATCTATACCTTTGCAAATAGATGGTGGTATAATTAGTTCTGATTCCCTTCCTATTTTCACGAGTAATATTACCTCAGTCATCTATGTGATCCCTCTTTTTCGGTCTGTTACTGCAGCTAATGTATTTTGTAGTACTCATGGATCCTAATTTTCTTTTTGATCTCAAGATCAATTCATAGAGATTTGTTCTGCCCTTCTTTTCTATGTGTTGATTCCTGTATGCCAGATATTCAATGAGTTTCTAGTTCCTTTTTCAGGACTAGATTTACTTGTGTATCTTTGCATGTACAATTGGAAAATATGTGATTGTGAACCTAAGCTATTAGGCATCATAGTCTTTTGATTTGTTTAGCTCAATGGTTTCAACATGGAATTGGACTTTCTATATTCATTCATGAGAGCTATATTTAGATAACTTTATGAGCTCTCCATTTATAATATGGTCAATACCTTTCCTTTTGAATGCCCCCTTATCAGAATGATTTAGAAGATTGATGTGCATCAGAGCTAAATTTATGTAACAGTGTCTTTTTCTTACTCATTTTGATTTTTTTGTTCCAGAAAAATGTAACATCTTGAAACCTTTCATTTTTTGCTATCTAATGATAAATCAAAGTGCTGTAATAGACTTTAATTGGAGTAACCATTATGAAACTACTAAAGAAGATCTGTATGGTATTTGTGTATGAAGTGTAGGGTGGCGGTGTATTGCAGTAATCATCTTTAAGCCAGCGAGTGTTAAATCTAACAGGGGATTCAGTTCTTGTTCCCCAGTTGAACTAGTACTCATTTTGCTGAGCCAGCGTTCAGCAGTTGGAATTCTATTGTAACGTTCATGAGTAAGAACATGAAATCTGTTTACAAAAAGTATAAGCACACGACATATAAATGTTTTTTTACTTAAAAGTTTTACCTCATTGTGCACACTATGACACTTGTCTCTTCATTGGAAGACAAGAAGGCGCCACTTTCTATTTGACTTGATTCGAAAATGGCCTTTTTCATGCTTTTTTGAAGTGTTATTTCTTCTATTTTTGTATAATTTTAGCTTTTATTAAAGTGAAATATCTGTATCTAAAAAGCATGCCTTGTGATGCTATTTTGTGACATAGTTTCCTTTTCTTTACTTAAGTGAAAAATCGCTATTGAATGTGGATTTGTTCCTAATCTTTCATATTTTCAATTAGCTTCTGTGACAACTTTTTTTTTTCAGTGTCTTTAGAAAAGTTAGAGCAAAAAATGGATGGTCCAAGTTCATGAAATGAATAGGATTATAACTCCTGAGATTTTTTCTAATCTACCACTTAACTGTTTATACCATATTATCCAACTACAATTACAGGACTAGAGTTGGAGTTTGAACTCTGCAACTACAGAAATGGATTTGAAATCCTTGTGTTTTTAGACGTTATTGTATCTTTAGAAAAGTTAGAGCAAACAATGGATGGTCCAAGTTCATGAAATGACTAGGACTATAACTCCTGAGATTTTTTCTAATCTACCACATGCCTGTTTATACCATATTGTCCAACTACAATTACAAGACTAGAGTTGGAGTTTGAACTCTGCAACTACGGAAATGGATTTGAAATCCTCGTGTTTTTAGTCAGATTTACTTAGGTGATAAATTCTCAAACATCTTAAGGATTAATAATACGAGTTGTACAGTAAGTCAATCTATAGAGGCAGCTGTAAGAATTTACAGATTGCTTGGATAAAATAGCTGAGATAATTAATTAGTTACTTCTATAGGGTTTAGGTAATCTAACACATTTAATAATTAACTGACCACCTTTTTAATTCTATGAATTTTTATTTCTGTTCTTTTTGATGATTTGCGTTCATTACATGGACTAGCTAAGTGATCAAGAGGATCTCATTGTCTGGATGCGCACAGCTGCTTTGCCTAGCTTTCGCAAATTGTATGGAAAAATAGAAGAGGATTTGGAAGCCAATGATGTGATATCAATTTACTTCTTAAACAACTATAACACATACAGTTTTGGTGGGAGGAAAAAGCTTGTTCTTTCTACAGCTAGCTGGTTGGGAGGCCGGAATAACTTCCTTGGCATGGCCTATATTGCCATTGGTTCTTGCCTTATAGTTCTTGCCCTTGTCTTCATTCTGCTTCATGTAAAAAATCCCAGGTACACTTCTTATGTTACTTCATGTCTACAGTATCACTGAATATTTGGTTCGCTGTTTGGTATGCATGCACTGCACCTTTTGGATGGTTGAATACCTTAACTATATACTATATTGGAACCATTGAAAATGGATATTAACCTCCTTGTTGACACATGAACAGGATATTCACTTTTAAGTTATAAGAAAGGTAGCCAGGATCATGTTGTTGAGTGTGCTTTGTGAGTGCAAGAAGATGTGGATGGTCATTCAAAAATGTGTATGGTATAGTCAATGAATTAATAGATGAATAGAGTCATAGTTGATCTGTCCTCATTTAAATTAGGAACTTTCATATAGATGATTGTGGTGAAAGAGAGGATGATTGCATTTCGCAATAGGAATTTTGGTGTTTTCAACATAAACAAATAGCTAAACGACGTGTGCGTTAGCATATCTCCTCTCATGTTATTTGGGTGTTTTGATAATCTGCAAATGTCAGAAGAGAGTTGGCTTTGTTTAGTGTAATTTTGATAGCAGTAATGCTTACTAATCCCTCTGGCAACATTTTAGGAAGTTAGCAACAGTTCAGCTACCTCTCTTTGAGGCTTCTTTTGGCCAGCAAGGATTCTTGGTTCAGATAATAATTTGATTCCTATTTGGTTGGTATGCACGTTTGCTTTTGTCAACAGGTATCTTGGGAGGAAAACATCTAGTCACCATATTATGAGTGACCAACTAGTATTTATATGAGTACAAACCTAACAAACTATTTACAAGAATACCCTTACTAATTTATTATCTACAAGAATACTTATATTCTCTTAACACTCCCCTCAAGTTGGAGCATATATATCATAAGCACCCAACTTGTTACAAATGTATTTCACCCTAGAGCCCCCTAAACTCTTGGTAAACACATCAGCCAATTGATCTACAGACGGTACATGAGATGTCTTGATGACCCCGTCAAGCAATTTCTCTCGAATGAAATGACAATCAACTTCAATATGTTTTGTCCTTTCATGAAACACTGGATTAGACGCAATATGAACAGCCGCCTGATTATCACACACTAAATTCATAGGCTGTTTATGCTCAAACCCAAGTTCCAGTAACATGCTCTTCAACCAAACCAACTCACACACAGTGTGAGCCATAGCACGGTATTCAGATTCTGCACTTGATCTGGATACAACTGTTTGCTTCTTACTCTTCCACGACACTAAATTACCACCAACAAACACACAATATCCTGTAGTCGATCTTCGATCTGAGGCAGAACCAGCCCAATCTGCAGATGTGCAGGCCTTATGATTGGAGAGACAGGAACCTTTAGGACATTTTTTTTTTTTTTTTTTTTTTGGAGTTGTTCCATTACTTTGATAGATGTTTTGCAAATAAAAACTTTCAGTCCAGGTAACAGTGTGGTTGTAAGTTTGTGACACAGTGGAGAGTGTTGAGTGGCACTTTCTTTTCATAATTGACTTCTAGGTCTTTTCTGTTTTTTCCCCTACAGAAACCCCCAATAGATATTTGCTTTGGCACAAACCCTGAAATTGTAGGAAGAGTTTTTTGTTAACAGCCAAAATGATTATTAAACCTAGAGTCTTAATTGAAGTTGAGAACATAAATTCATAGATGTCTATACTAAAATAAAGTATATTTAAACTTGGTTCTATATCATCCAAGTAATTAATGTGGATAAAAAACTTCGAATCTCGGACCCTAGGAAATAAATAGTATCAAATCAATCCCAAAGTACCTTTTTATGCTAGAATGGACTCACCTGTTTCAGTACTTTGCATATGGTATATATCTGTATGTATGTGTATAGATGTCTATATCTATGTATATACACATAAACATATATGTCTCCGGTTTCTTTCTTCCTTCTTGCAACAACATGAAAATAGACAAGCTCTGCCAAAAATGCCCTATCTTTAGAATTCTCTTTGACTCTTTAGTTTGTTTAGCAATCCCTGAAGATAGATTGTACCACACAAAATCCATGCAGAAATTTCTTATAAACTACTTCACATTTTGTTGAGTCACTCTTCAAGAAAGATTCCACTATAGTTGTATCAAATTCTTAAATTGACAGCACAAAATATCTCATCTTTCAACCTCTCTGTATTTTGATCAATAACTTCATGATTAGGTTGTAAACTGAGCTTATGCTTGTTTGATCAATGTGATAACATCCAACTCAACTCTTACAAGCTATCTTGGAATATTCACTGAACAGAAACTTATCTTTATTATGCAGGATAATCATCACTTAAGAGTGTTAGAAATCTCACTTGCATCACTATTTTCGGTAGGTCACTTGCATACCTTACATTGCTAGCATCAGAGTACATAGCAAAAACAAGTATCAACCCTATTCTCCCGAGTTGAATTCTGACTTCTCTAAATATTCTGTCCTCCTTGAACACCTTCCTATAGACTAGCATTAAACTTATTTCAATTCACGCAGCCCATAGAGGCACCAAATTCATGGAAAATCTTCAGCTCTAGCTCCCACTGGAGCAGGTGAGTACAGACATCAGATTGATCCTTCAGGTTGTGATAGGAGTCTGGGTTTGTAGGTGAAAGCAAGAAAGTATTGTTAAGGGCCAGCCAGATGCATCTTAAAGTTTTTCAAGAGTTTAGAAGGGCCAACTTTTGGTATTTCTCAAGCATGAATTTAGTACAAGTGTTTCCTTCTCGTAAGCTAATGTCTCATTCTAAGAATGTCACTTTTAAAATTCAAAATGGAACTTGAAGGCTATTTCTATGTAACTTTTAGTGCTTTTCTCTTGAGTTTTTCCATCCTGATTCGTTATAATTGTATCCGGTGCCCACATTGAAAGAACTTGTTCTTTTGTTACTGAAACAAAAAGAAAAAAATTAGATGCAGGAGTGCCAATTTTGGAATTGCCTTAAAAAAGTTCGTGGTTTCTTTTATTCCTTATGTACATTCAAATTGTGCATCTCAATATAGAGTTCATTAATCTATACGCAAAAGGTCACAATTTCTAAATAAATTTTTAATCAAAGAAAATAATCCTCTGATTTTTCTTTCAAAAGATTTTAGTGGAAGGGCCAAAATACATGTTCTTTGGTTAAAATGATGCCTTCTACAACTTGAATGTAGAATTTATCAATTTGACGTGTCGTCTTGAATACTTGGATCTTCCATCTTCAAGCTTCTGACATAATTACAAGATTTGATTTGTATTTGAGTTTGGACCTGATTTGGATTTGGGACTTGAGATAGAACAAAGCTCTTGAACTTTGTTCTCCAGGGGTTCTCCAAAAGTTGGGGATTTGCATTTGTCTTGAATTAGGAAGTAGAGATCTACTTATAGCCAAAATTTGGAGTAAGGGAATAAAAGGATGGTCTTTAGAATCTTTAATGCTACTTGGTTACTTGTAGTTAAGGAATCCATCGGTATTGGACATCTAATAGATAGGACGCCTAATTAGTCCATTGTGAATTAAGTAAAGTAATTAATTTACTTTATTTTATACTGGACTTTGCACATCCTATTTCCCAATTGCTAGGCCCAATCATCAATGCAACTTGTAACTTTGATTTAATTAATCAAGACTGATTTAATTTACTATTTGTCTAGTGGGTGTCATGGGGCAATTGTCAGTTGAATCTGAATCGTCTATTCTTGAGAAAACTGAAGTTAAACAGGAACGTGTCTAAATACCGGGGACTAATTGTGAGTCTGTATTTAGTCAGTAGTATGGATTAACAAGTACCCCAGGGACCTGTTCAAAAAATTCTTTAGTTTATCTAATTTTGACTAGATTAATAAACATATTTAATAATTCTTTTAAAGTTCCATTGTCTGTAACTTTGCTTCATGATCTATATCTTCTACAAGATGCTCATCTATGGAATCACCTTCTTCATAATGATCTGTCCTCTGCTATTAAAGTCAATTACACAAAGGGGCTTAGCTTCTAATATGTTACTGGCATCTTTTGTTTTAGTCCTGTGACTATTTCATTCTTTGACATGGACTTTCGAATTTAGTCTTGCACCTTAGAAAGATTCCTGGATTGCAAGCCAGGAATTAGAACAACTTGACTAATTTTATTGGTCTGCGGTTTGCTTTTTCTTGTGGAATTTGACCATTTGCATATTAGTGAAGTTGAAAATTAGACTTTTTCTGCATTGTTGTTTTCCTTGTTTTAAAAGAAGACATGTCAGTTGTTTCAAAGTCATGAATTGCACCTGAATGAAGAGGGTTCAAGCATTTCACCTTTTCCTGGATCTATTTCAGGGCTTTAAGTATGGTGCTAAAGTATTTGCATTTTCATAGGTGTTAAAGCATCTTCATTTCCTTATTTGCAGGCCTTACGGGGATGCAATGTATGTGTCTTGGAATTGGAAGGGCATTCCTAACTGAAGGTAATCCTACTCAAACATTGATATTGCATCTGAAAATAAATTTAAACAGTATCCTAGTATCAACCTAGGGAGTTTTCAAAGGTAACTACTGTTATACATTCAATTGTGGCACGATGGAAAGATGTTATGGTAATCATGCGTGATGTTATTTTGATTAGTATATGACGTTGTAGTTTTATGGTGTATATTTTAGGAAGATATAGGTACAAATGAACAACATGGTACCATAAGTTCCAGATCCATTGTAATATATTACAAGATCTTCTTGTATTTATGTTATTCATTGACCAGGTCTATTTGTATCATGTTCTGTAATCATTGTTTAGTGCGTGTGTTATAACCCATAATCATTTGATGTTTGAAATAATTTTGCACCATTCATTGGCTTCTTTCGTTGATGCAACTCGTTAGCATTCACAATTTCCTGCAATCACAACGTTGTTGTCTCTACCTTCAACGGAGATTGTTCAACTCTGTTCCTGCCTAGAGACCCAAGACAGAGTACATGGGAATTTCGGAGCTTGGAAGTAAAAATATTGCATGTGGCAGTAAATTATCAACGAGTGCTTTAGCAGTCAAGGTACGAGACTAGTCTCCCATCATATCAAAACCTGGCTCTAGATTCCACATTGGTTGTATTACTCTGGAATTCGAATAATTTGTTTAATTGATAGAAATTGTGACCCCGTAAGGTTCTGATACATGGATGAGCAAGGGGTTCGAACAACTTGAGCTATGTTACAATACTTGCCTCTATTTAATCCTGTAAAAGCATTTGAATTTTCCTTCTTCATCAGTGAATTTTACTTAGTGAACCATTGCAGAGTAGGTTTAGACATTCCTATATGGCGATTACTCGGATGATGGCTTGTGGCAGCTTGTGGGAAAGGGGAGTAGTAGCAGATGTTGGATCCATTCGGTTGGACTGAAACACAAAATCTTTTTTAATGAACATGTTTACAGCTATTTATGTAATCGTGTTAAAATCCTACGCTTTTTTGGCGTTGAATGTTGGGAAAATTTGCTGTATGGGAAACGGATGATTTTCATAATTGGAAATGGATTCAAGTTTGATCAAATACATAAGAAGGGTTTGGGCCGTTATTAACATTATTTATTTTAATCAGAATAAAATTGTAATGACCAATTTGCCACGATTACTTTACACAAGTTTGAGATCCAACTAGCCAGCATCATTCGGTCCCTTCCCACATGCTCACCAATTTGGTAGGGGTTCCAGTCATGTGATTGAAGGGAAAATGATAGTTTAGCTATTGCAAAAGATTTGAATTTCACTTCAAAGGTTGCACGCAAATATAGTTTAGCCATTGCAAAAGGCTTGAATTTCCCTTCGAAGGTTGCGCGCAAATATCTTTATCACTGGAGCCAGACATCACAAATGTTGCAATTGGACTATATTTTATGTAAACTTTAATGGACGTATATGTATTTTTTCTTGTCTTTTTTTTACTTTAACTCTTTCTCAACACCTAAAATATATTTGAACATTGGATAGTATAATAAGCATTTTTTTAAAATAAGAATGATATTAAACAAATTGTGTATCTATACAACAAAAATAATTTGTACAATTACACTGTAACAGGTCTTATAATAATTCTATCATATTTTTTTGTTTTTATAGACACTTTCTAAACTATTGTCCCATCTTATATGAAGTAATTTTCTAATGTCCAATTAACACTTTTTTATTAAATTTTGTATTCTTTTGTCAAAATTCTACTAAATAACATGAAAAAGAAAGATGGGGAGGTCTTAGTCTAATAGCTGAAATTGATCCACTAAGAATTAGTGGTTTTGAATTTAAATTCTCCTTCCCACTTCATAATGCAGTTTTGGATTGAAAAAGTTAACTAAATATTTATTTTATAGCTTTGAAAGCACAAATATTATAATATGGTGGTATAATAATTATAGCTGTTAATAACTCTATACAAGGTCTTTATCGTTTGTCTAGTACAGGCTTTTCTCACTCTATTGGGATGAGACCCATTCCCCCCAAGAGGGGGGGGGGGGTTTAAAAAGTTTTGAACTTGCCCAAACACAAAATCCAGTTCAAAAATCCACAAAAGCAAAGCAAAAATTAACAATCATGTCCTCTTTAATGGACTCACCATAAATGCTACACTAAGTTCACCTTAGGAGACTTACATCAGTTTATAAGGGAGAGAAGATTAGACGCATTGAAGAAACACTGATAATAAGAGATTGATACTGAAAAATGGACAAAAGAAGAGATGAAAAGTGAAAGATGAGTTCAAACTACAAACATATAGATGCAACTCCAGACTTTCTGATATGCTATATACTGGTGGTTTATTGCCTTAAAATTTTCTTTTAACTTGCCTACATTTGCCTGACTTTTTTCTAGATTAATACTTAGTTTCTAACTCTCCTAGACTCCTTTTTCTAGACTGCTAGAAGTAGAAACCTTAGGAGTTTGGACTACATCTTAATCAAACAAACTCTTGGTAGGAATAGAGAATTTTTCATTAGTAGTGGTCTAGTATTTAGCTATTAGATCATTTGTATTAGTATGGTTGAGAAACTCCCAGACATAATGCAAAATTTTGCACTGTCTAGCAAGGACTGGATGTGGATGCAGGAATTTTGGAGTGTCTGTGAGGCCCCAGTCCGTTCGTAAGTCGATATTAGGGTTATTTGATATTCGGTATAGAAAAAAAATCAGGGTTTTATGGCTAGGAAGGAAACCCTAATTCGGTTGAGCTTGAAAATCCTAGTTTACGTATTATGATTATAAGGTTCAAGCTATAATTTATATTCGGTATTCTAGTGTGTGCCTTGACATAGGTAAATATAGGATTTGTTTTAATTACAAAGGTTTAGTAAGTTTGATGCTTCAAACATGCAAACGAAAGAAAGCTATGAAACTAGCAACTTGAACTCACTCATGGGTTCTTTCTGTACAGCTTTAGCTTCCATATGTGCAGGAAGACAGCCATGAACGCTACCATTTAATGGAACATGCAACTAAATTCAAACCATGAGACTGCTAAGCTATTCAGAACCCAACTCACCGCACACGAATCATACGCATTCAGTTCATGACAGGAAAAACCACACGAAAGTTAACAGCTTTTGGTTCACAAGTTTTCGGCCATACAGATTCCAAAACATAGCTTTTAGTTCCTAGGTTTTTCACCAAACAAAAAACAACAAAAAAAATAGATTTCCCATGGACATAAAAACAGAAATGACGAGATACTAGGTAACGAAAACAAACATCTGAAACAGATTCAGGGAATCCACGCTTAGAAGGCTTAAAAAATCTAAACTTTTAAAAGGAAACTTGAATTTAAAGGGAAAGGGTAGCTCACAATGCTTTCTTTCAAACCTTTTGCGATGAGGGTTTGTAGGTGGTGGTGGTGGATTCTGATGGCAGCAGCGGCATCAGCAACCCATCGCCGAGACCTTCGATTCTTGGTGGTTCTTTACTTTGGTTTGGTTTGGACCGAAATCCCTCAAGCTCTCTCTAGAACCTCTTGGTTTTTTCCCTCGGCTCTCTCACTCTTCCTATTGTTTCCTCCCCAACGCTTCATCAGCTGCCACCCCAAAAACTCTCCAGCCCTCGGTTTCTTTTTCGCTCAACCTCCCAGCCGTCACTAGCCTCCCCAGAAACTCTATCTCTCTCGGCTTCTTCTCCAGCCGTCCAGTCCATCAGGCTTCACTCTCAGCCCTGCCCTTCCGCTCTCTGGTCTTTCTCCCTTAAACCCCTTTTAACCGTCAAAAAGCCTCTCCTTTTCTGCCGTTGCCCCTTATACTATTTATAGGAACCCCAGATCCCTAAAACTCTCACCTCAAAGGTGAGGATGAAGGGGGTTTTTTGTATCAGAACTTGAGCCATTGGATCTCTTTCCTACCAACTGCAATTTTTCCTCTTACGTTTTTGCTTTTTTCCCTTTTTTTTAAATATAAATAATAAAAATAAAACAAGATAAACAAAAATGCTAAAAGAAAGCGTATTTTGTGAACCTTTTCTTCTTTTTTTTTATTCCTAAAAAATGCCTAAAACTAAAATTAAGAGACTAATGAGCAAACGTGGATAATAAAAATAAAATAATAAATAATAAAATAAAAAAAAATAAAAATTTGGTGTCTACAAACTTCTTCCTTGGACTCCAAGTGATTCAAACCCAAGATGGAACATTTATAAATCAAACAAAATACACCAAGGAGTTGCTGAAAAGATTCTGAATGGAGGACTCAAAGCCTGTTGGAACACCTATGTGCACATCTACCAAACTTGACAAAGATGAAGAAGGTATAAAAGTTGAGGAAAAGAAGTATAGAGGTATGATTGGAAGTTTACTTTATTTAACTGCTAGTAGGCCTGACATCATGTTTGCTGTATGCTTATGTGCTCGATTTCAATCCTGTCCAAAGGAATCACACTTGAATGCGGTAAAAAGAATTTTGAGATATCTTAAAGGAACCTTAAACTTTGGCTTGTGGTATCCAAAATGTCATGAACTTTCTTTATGTGGATTCTCTGATGCTGACTTTGGTGGTTGTAAAATAGATAGAAAAAGTACTGCAACTTTCTTGGAAATTGCTTGGTCTCAGTAAAAACAAAATGCTATCTCATTGTCCACTACTGAAGCTGAATATGTTGCTGCTGGTGCTTGCTGTGCTCAATTGTTATGGATGAAAAATACATTGAATGATTTTGGTTTGGTATATGAATATGTACCAATGTACTGTGACAACACTAGTGCAATTAATCTAACAAAAAATCCCATTCAACACTCTAGGACTAAGCACATTGATATAAAGCATCATTTCATTCGCGATCTTGTCTCCAAGGGGGTAATCCGTGTTGAGTTTGTTTGTTCTAAAGAGCAGATCGCTGATATCCTCACAAAAGCTCTTCCACTGGATCAATTTGTGTTCTTGAGAACAAAACTGGGCGTTTCAGAAAAAATATTCTAAGTTTTGTTTCTAGTCAATCTTTATCGGACGTTCGATGAATTGGAACGGACGTCTGACAGTGTTCTTTGTTCAGTTTCAGAAAAACCCTGGTTCGGACGGTTGTGTCTTCACTTCGTTCGGCCGTCCGACACTCAAAAATTGAGCCCTATAAGGCAGTTACCCATCCTTCTCAGTTCATTTTCTTCCATAAGTCTCGGACGCAACCTTTCAGTTTCCTCTCATATTTGAAATTCAAATTCCTCTCTCATCAAACCAAGTTCCAAGAAATTGACTCAACCAACTTCATTACACCTCTATTGCTCATTAACCACTCATAAAATCACTCCTAACCCCAACTACCCCAAAGCTCCCAATTTACATACGAAACCCTAACTTCACATAAATCTCTCCTTGCGGCATTTTAGTGCATTCTAGTTGGCTCGTACTGCACTCCTCCTCTATACACCACATTCTGCATCAAAAATAATATCCACATTGCATCATGGTTAGAATCAGAGGAGGATCTACTAGTGCCGGACGATTTTTTAGGCTTAGAGATGAGGACATTGAGATTGTGGAACCACCTCTTATGGCACCTAAAAAGAAGATTGTGACCCGTGGTGGTAAAGTGAAGCAAACTGCCCAAAGAAAATTGGTTACTCCAACTGCTGAATCATCTGATGAGCAGATGGAAGGGCAGAACTCTGAAGGGAACATTGTTGGTGGAAATAAGGAACCAGAGCAGGCTACCCAGGGTGATGAAACTGTCACAAGGTCATCTGGTAAAAGAAAGAGAATTGCAAAGAGGAAGAGCACTCCCCAATCCAAGAAAAAATAATCTGCTGATCTCTCTGTTGATCAGCAGGATGAAGGAAACATTACTGAAAATCAGCAAACACCTGAACCCTTCACCAGGAAGTCTCTAAGGACAAGGACTGAGGCTCAAAATGTTGGGGCATCTGCCACACAAACCTCAAATAGGAGACGTTCTGGAAAGGCTCCTGTTTCTCAGCCCGTAGAAGAACCCACTCCTCTCCCAAAATTCATTGATGATGAAGCCAGAGACAGATTTGAGTTAGTCTCTCAAAAATGGTTCATCACCCAAAGGCTCATCCTTCCCTATGAATTTCGTAAGCTTGATCTTGAACCTGTTATTAAA